CAGGGAGCCCTGCCCAGCAGGGGTGTGACAGGGCGGCCGGCCAATATTCTGGAGCAGCCAGGGGCAGGGGGCTCTGCCCGCCAGCTCTCATGCTGGCGGCACTGAGGGGTAGCGGTGCCAGACCCGTGCGTATCATCTCTGAACAAAATAAATAAGAGACTAGTACAACTTCAAGCTACTGGCTCATCCTGGCGAGCTTGGTGAGGCTGTTCTAGTCCCCGTTAGTGTTCCTAAGTCTAATTTCCTGCACACTGTGAATTTGCTGCAGGGCGTTTGGAGGCAGAACATAATGCCCACAGCTTACAATGGATATTCCTGCCAAGGAATTTCAGTTCAGCCCCCGAGTGCGTTACCAGGCAGAACCCACTGACAGAAGGCTGTAGATTTAAATACAACTGGGAGCAGTCTAAAGACAGCGCCAGCCTTTAGGCAAGAGACGGCAACAAGCTACAAATAAATCCTGCTACTTAGGCCACACTTGTGCTCACTAGAGTAACAGGGCGAACGAAAGAGCAGGTGCTGGTGACTGCACAGGCCTGGGCCCATCAGCAGGTCCCCTGACGCTGCTGCTACTTAGTACAAGCCCCTGTATCCAGTGAGGAGTATTTTGATTTGGCACCCAGAGCCCAACCTGGGTCCAGCCCAATTCCCAGCCAGGGTCCAGGGACTGCTGGCATCTCACACTTGTTACTCCAGCATTTCCTAGCACCTGCCCAGCCAGCTCCCCGCTATCCACGCTACTGCTTTTTATATAGCTCCACTGAAGTCGGGTGGTTTCTTTGGTTACCACAACTAGGAGAGAGAACGTTACATTAAAGCTTCTTCGCGCAAGTGCTGCGGGGCTCCAAGCTCCGGCTGGGAACAGTGTGTGGTCAGGTCTAGGGAAAAGACCGTGTTTGAAAAGAAACACAGGCTTCTGGGTTAATCAGAAGCCTGGATCGGACAGCGTGGGCCATGGGATCTCTCCCGTGAGAACAGTTCTCTGGCAAGACAGGCATCCAGTTCACAAAATGAGGCTCAGAAACGATCTATCCTGTTCTCAACCCGGCCCAACGCTTATGGAATGGCATTTGGTGGTGGAACCAGGGGACTCCCTGTCCACGTTAACTCCTAATGACCAGCCCAGAGGAGCAGCACCAGACTCGCGTGGCAAGATAAACTAAAGAGCACATACAATAGAGGCTTTCGCGAACCCCCTCCCTCTAAATCTACATAGATTATTCTGGGGAACTTTCACATTATAACTCATATATTATATCTGTACCACAATGAACGGTGAAAATGACGACTCAATTAATGCAAATTTACTGCACCTTAGATAAGCTACTAAGAAAAAAAACAGATTAAATCATATATTCTCAAAAAGCTAAAAGAATCCATGAAAGGTGAGAGGGGAGGCAAGGCCCAGATGGGCTAAATGGGGTTCTGCAAAACCTCTGAACAAGCCTGGAAAGACGTTCAGTGCTTGCAATGGACCGAAATGGTCATTCGCATCTCAGCCTGGTTTCACTGTTCAGAAAACAGGCTTCATTTCTTAGCTGCCTAAGGTGACTTGGATGGTAACATTCCTACACAGCTTATTAGAGGCCCAAAGTGCTGTTACTAAGATGCCAGAAACCAGCCAGCGTTAGACAAAATATATTCAACCCAGGTGTTGTGTTAAAATTAGAACGAAGGTTTCATGCAGATAAGGGGTGGGAGTGGGAGGTTTCAAGAAACAGTTACTTTCAAGAAACCCAGATAAAATGAAGCTTATTCAAACCATATGGAGCAAATGCTACCAGCCAACTCTCTGGACTGCACACTCAGCCACGGCACTTCTGCCAGCAAACCGATTCCCCCCTTAGCAACCTCTCTTCCCAGAGGCTTTGCTCGATCCACAGAACAGCACAGTTAAAAAGACAGAGGTAGATTAAAAAGTCATGATTAAAAGCAAACTAGTCATCCAGGCTTGGATTTAAAAAAAAAAAAAAAAAAATCAGAGATTCCGGAAGATGCCAAAAGTTTGCTGCTTCCAAAACTAGCTTTTTTCAAAAGTCTTCTCCCTCCAACAGAGCGAGCACGAGTGCGTGTCCCTTAACAGAGCTTGACGGAGCTGCTACATTTTTCTCTATCACAGGGCACAGGTATTGCTGTCGAGCTGGAGTAGGCGACGTGAAAAGGCAGACTGCAAGATGGTGCATGTGCTGTTGGAGGCATGGCAAGCTATTTCCGAAGGTAGCGCTGGGCCAGGATGGCAGCATCCAAAGGGTTCATGGGCTGGGCATCATGCCCCAGGCGCCGCACGGGCGGGATGTTGCCAAACTGCCGCTTCTGCAGGAAGCTCTTCGCTTCATGCAGCGTGTTCTTCTCCTCGGCCAGGAGCAGCTGCTGTCTCATGTAGTTCTCAAACTCGTACTGGGAGCACTCTTCCGTCACCTTCGCCTGCAGACAAGACAAACCGAGTCAGAGCTGCCGGAGTGCCTGGCCCGTGGCAAAGCACACAGCCAGCTGGGGTGAGCTCCCAGCTCTCGTCAGCCTCGCGCACCCAATTCCTGTCTTACATATTCCTGAGCTACCGAGAAGGAGGGAAAGAATCCACCTGTGACCGAAGCACGCCTGGCGCTAGGCAGGCCGTCTACTGATGGACACGCACAGGGCTCCCATGAAGTTACCACCAGGGAACAGTAGTAAGGGGCACTCATGGGCTGCCCCTTGGCCAACAACGATGCCCCTGCCCACTGACTGGGCCAAGTGTGTGCAATCCAGCCCAGATCTGCCGACACTTGATCGTGGTCAAACCAATGTCCTGGTTTGACCATTCCTCTGCCGCTCTCAGCCCAGTGAGGCGAGTGGGCCAAGCAGCAGCCAGTGTCCCCCAGGCGAGGAACACAGCCCAGGTTGGCTAGTGGGGCTCTAAGGGGGGCTCTGGCACAGTGAGGTCACTGGCCATCGCTTCCCCCACAAATGTGCTGGCAACGAGAACAGGATGTTTATTCACTCTGCGGCCTACAGAAGAGGTGCCGAGGTGGTGCCGCTACCACTTCCTGGTTCTCCCCACAGCGAAGCTGCGACTCTGGGGAGCTCATTTACACAGGGAAAATTCAAGCCCAATTGTTAAACGGAAAAGCCAAGAGGCCAATCTCTCATGTACGAGCTCAGCTCGCTGGTGCTGCTGCCTGCTGCTTCCTCCACACAGCTCAGGAGGGGGAGTCAATTATTTGTTTCGTGGTGCCGCTACCACTTCCTGGTTCTCCCCACAGCGAAGCTGCGACTCTGGGGAGCTCATTTACACAGGGAAAATTCAAGCCCAATTGTTAAACGGAAAAGCCAAGAGGCCAATCTCTCATGTACGAGCTCAGCTCGCTGGTGCTGCTGCCTGCTGCTTCCTCCACACAGCTCAGGAGGGGGAGTCAATTATTTGTTTCCAGAGCCCAGGGACACTAATAATATATAACGATGATGGCAAGTAAATGCATTTCAGGATCCATTCAAAAGCATCCGCGGATCCCGATTTGGCCGACTACCCTGAACTAGAGTCACTGCTACAGATAGAGACGGCCACCGTCTGCCCTGCGATTCTAGCCACACGCCCCTCCCTGTATTGTGGAGGGCAGGAGGTGCCCTGACAAGGGCTCAGTGAAGGGACAAGAGAGAGGGGGTGGAGGAAAAAGGCAACAGAAGGGGAAGCGCACTGAGGCCTGGGGGCAAAGGAGCTGGCTGTCAGAACAGCAACGAATTCTCAGCTGGGCATCCGGTTCTCCACCCACCACAACCAAATCCTTCCCATCTCAGCTGCAGCCTCACCTCTTGGGGAGTTTCTGGGTTAGTCACCTGGTCATCAATATCAGGCACCACTTGCAAAGGGCCACTTAGTGAGGACATGGACTGCCTGGGGTGTGGAGAACACAGTGTATTAGCAATGTATGGCACAGACACGCCAGAGGCACGAAAGACAGACCTGGTACAGCCCCCCTGCCACGCTGCGGCTCTAGTTAACTAGACGTCTCTAGAGCACCGAGACGCTACTTCACACTCTGGTTTTGCCAGTGCTCGAAACAGGATGCGTCTCTTGGCACCTTGTATAGGTAGAAATCAAAATAGCCTCTGCTCCAAAAATTGCCATGCCTGACAGCTGGCTCCCCAGGTGCCCTTCTAGCTCCAGGCTCGGGGCACACTGAGGAGCCATACGGGTAATTCGAATGAGCCATGGGGAGCAGGGGATGGAGGACTGCTGCAGCAGTGAGTTCCTGGTTAGGAGACAAAGGAGCTTCCCCCTGCTCAGTAAGCACACAGCTCTGGAGTCAGATTTATCCTTAAAAGGCCTCCTTGTCCCACCCACGACTGGGGATGTAAAATCCCTTTTAAAATGTTAGCTGGTTAAACTATGTTTAATCGATTAACTAGCACGCCGCGGTGGAGTGGCCTGGCTGGGCTGGAGCAGTGCCCCACCTGCAGCATGCTGTGGACAGCGCAGGTCAATGATATACCCTGGTAAGCATGCTGGTAAGGCAATGCTTACTGGTAACTGGTTACCCCTTTATGTCCCTACCCACAATTCAATGCTCTAGCATGAAACAGAAGCATCTGCCCAGTGCCCTTTTCCACCTCTCATGCTTGGTTTTACGTTAACTTCATATCACTAGTTACAACCCGTGGGCCACCAAAGTGCAATGAGGATCGGTTACCATTGACACAAGAGATGTGCACCTGACCCCCAGGGAGCACCAGCCGCCCTTTTCCCTTAGCTCAGAGCACTCACCACGATGCTATGATGGAGCTGAGGGATTCCAGTACTTCGGAGGCCGTGAGACGCTGCTGCGGATCCAACACCAGCAGTTTCCGGATCAAACACACAGTGTTTTCAGAAACCCGCCCATCTCTGGTGGAGAAAGGTACAGTCAGAACAAGACAAGGCTGTGATGGTTACATGGCCCAGGGAGTGCTGGAGGTGGGAGAAATAACCGGGGGCCGGTGTGAGGCAGGGGATGAGCGAGCAGGGCAGCACACGCAACACAAGGACTATTCTCTGATTCCCCAGAGCTCAACGTTTACTACCGGGTTTTATTTCCTTTTATTGTATATCCATGAGTTCCTCATTCTAGGTGGGTGCAGCCGCGCTAGGGCCTTGCTCGCATTTAGAACGAGGGGCCAGAGCACAGCTCCTGCTCCCTTGTAGACCTCTGTATGCTGGGATACGTGCGTGGCGCAGCACTGCAAGCCCCCCAACACAGTTATGCATGCATCAAGCGCTGGGTGCGCCGGTGGCTGGGTCACTCACTCGGGGATGGTGTATTCGGCAGCCTTGATTTTGCGGAAGAGCTCCTGAGGTATGCTGTCATAGAAGGGAAACTGGCCGTACAGCATGGTGAAGAGCACCACGCCTAGCGCCCACATATCACTGGGTTTCCCACGATATGGCCGACCTGGGGAGAGGAAGGGACAAAGGCAGGTCACGCGATGCTGCGACCTTGGCCTCTCTCATTCACAACACCACAGCACAGGAACTGGTTCCCAACAAGTTCTTCTTTCGGTATTAGGTAAGCAAGATCATTTGGATCCCGAGCAAGGCAGTGGCCTTTCAAAGGAGGCTCCATTAAGAGTGTGCCTAACACCACGGCTTTGCCGGATACCCAGCGGGGTGTAACGAGTCAAGCTGCTCTCTAGCTGAAGCTTCCCCTGGCTGGGGGGAAGAACTGTTTACCATAGGACCTTGAGATTATGTTCAATGTGCAAGTTCTCATGGCCAGACACCACACAGCAGTTCACAGGAGCTTGGGATGTGGCCTATCCTGCTCCCTGAAGCCGCAGGTTCAAATTCTGGTGACGTTCACGCAATCCTTCCTCTGTCTGGAAGCAGACAGGGGTACTCTGGGATTCTTCTAAAGTCCTATCGCCTCTGCAGCCACACTGAGGGATACCCTTGTCTTTTGTTCCCGACTCCACTGACCCGTGTCCCCCACCCCAGGTGCTGCAAGTGTTGAGTCAAGTACCCTTGGTTTGGGTGCCTACTGCTCCAACTCAGGTTTATACGGTACAGAGGAACATGACTGTTGGCTGTTTCCCCAGTCCCCTGTGCTTCTCACTGCAGGGATCTTTTTGCACTTGCCACCTCAGGTCAGCACCAATCTGGCTGCTATGACCATACAGCCCCGACTACGCAGCTGTACGTGACCCACCGCCATTCATGTGGCCACGCAGACTCCCTGGTTTGCCACATACGGCCCAGATGCACCCAAGTGAGCTGAGACAGCTCAGCCCTTCGGAGAGGTCTGAAGCAGATGGTTGCTGAAGTCTGGCCCAGCTCAGAGCAGCTCTCCCCCATGCCTCGGCATCCCGGGAACCCTCCACGGCAGCCCCCGTGACGCTGTGGAATACGTTAGAGGAACTGCTGCTTCAGGATCCCGGCAGCCGCGTCCTTGCTGAAGCGCAGCAGAGCTTGCACCGAGGCTGAACTTTAAGCACAGGACTGAGGGACCAACTTCCTCTGAGTCACCAGTGAGTCACCGCTACAGCACTTGGCACTGGCAGCAATTACGCTTTGCTGCGTGCAGCTCAGGAGGCACCTCGCCCTCCTCCTTGCCTGCCGCCTTCTCCCGCAGGGACATTGTCAGCCATCTCTTCCCAGGGGAGAGCTCCCTCAAGAGCCCTAAACAATGGGTGGTCAGTGATGCACCAAGCTCCCACCTGCCCGAGAATATTAGAGGAGCAGACAGAGGGAGGCTCCGTCACACTAAGAAGCATCTCTTAGAAACTAAACAATGATCTAGGTTGGAAGAAAAATCGGATGGCCTTGGGTATCACCTGCTGCCAGGTAGGGAGCACACTGCATGGTTCCCGCGCTGCATTCGTACAGCAGGTTCGAGGGTTCAACCTACGTCTCCGGGTGCGCAGACCCGGGCTTGGAAGGGTTACACACACTCTTCCCAGTCACAGGACTGGCTCAGAAGGTGCTCACACCAGAGAGGTGCACCCCAGAGTAACAGGCGGTCTGCCTTCATGCTGCAGCTATGGGCTCTCCCAATCCAAGGCTCCATCCCGCAAAGCCCTTAGCCTGGGCCTGCTGTGGGCCTCCCCTACCACCCCACCTGATGTGGTTGCCTCTGATAGAGGCAGAAGCCCGGGGGGAGGCAGTACCGCGGAGACAGTGCTGGGGGGTGGAGCTGACTTTTAAGCTGGGGGGTGGTGCTTCCCCCACTCCCCTTGCTACGGCTGATATGGGGTGGGAGGGGGAAGAGCAAGTAGTCGACTTGCTTACCTGATAAGCCTAGGCTTTTCTGGAAGTCGACTACTCACTTACATCCCTAGCCCAGGCTGAGGGAGGTTTCCTCGCAGAACCAGCAAAAGCCAAACACACAGAAGCCAAACTCCCCCAGGACAGTGGTCAAACACCAGCTTGGGCCAGGCTTGACTCTGAAGCAACATTGATCATCACAGCCCACTAAGCTCCGTTCTCTCCAGGTACAAAGAGCTCAGCTGCAGTTGCACAGACTTGGGATTCGGACTTTACACCCTGCTCTGAGCTAGGTGCCCTGAACACTTTAAAGCGGATAGTCAGTAGGAACTGGCAGTGCAGCCATTGCTTAGTCAAACAAAACCACCATCTAGTGTTGGCTATTGCGGATTCAGAGACCAGGACATTAACAGACATTGGCAGTGTCCCTTATTCAGCACCAAGTGCCATGGGATCTTTAATTTCCACCAGTGCACCTCCCCGGAGATTATGTAGAAGTGAGACAGCTGCCATCGAACAGCATGGTATGGGGCGAGTGCCACACTCCTAAAGCATCAGCACTGACTAAGCCCTGATTCTTGTACGGGATGTGCGCTCACCAACCAGCTAAGCTGCTCGGCTGCCTCGTGGGACGGAATTGAGAGCACAAGAGCGTGTCTATCCACGGAGCTCCCCAAGATTCCTGCCCAACCCCGTGTGTGGACATGCTGGTTTCACAGTAAGAGAGCACTATAATTCCTGGATTAAGTTACACTGGAACACTTTTCCTGCTCCCTTCCCCTCCCTGCTTGGAAAAGAGACTAGCTCTAATATTAGGCTGTAAGAGGATCTTCGAGGCATGTTACATCTGGGAACAAGCCTAGACATGCTTCTCTTCCAGGAACAAGAGCAGCACACAAATAAAACAAAGCTGACTCCCTGTGTATGGGCTGTGAACTCCCACTGAGGGAGGAAGGGGGATCACCTACCACTGAGGACGTCTGGGCTGATGTAGGCAGGGCTCCCACGCTGATCCTTCAGCAGATCCTCTTCACTCACGAGGTGCTTTCCAAGACAGAAGTTTGTTATGGTTATTCGGTGAGTCCTGGGGAGGGTTACAAGGCATTAGTGAGCAGGAGAGCCACGCCAGGAGCCAGTGTGAACAAGGGAATTTACACTATGGCAGAAACAGCTAGAATTCTTTGCAGGAAGCCTATAAAACACCAAGAAAAGGCCGGATTTGTGCTAGCAGCCATGGTCATAAACCCAGCCCATCACATGGGCAAGGGGTCCAGCTGCATCTCTGTGTTGGGCTTTAAAATCTCGACTTAAAAAAAATTAAAATAAAACAGCATGTCCCCTTTAAGAGTAAGTGCAGCGATAGTAACAGGGGAGTAGCTGAGCACTAAGACCCAGGGGAAGCATTGCTTCCCCTAGGTCTTTTGGCCAACAGCCATTTTGTGCCAGCAGCCTTGGGGAACCAGGTAAGCGTGGGGGCTGGGAGCTTCGGGGGGAGAGGGGAGGCCGGGCACTGAGTGTAGGGTTGCCAAGTGCCTGGCATTTTTGCCTCCTGGCCGGGGAAAAAAAATTCAGAAAATACCAGACAGCTCAGGTGTCCAGTATTCTCTGAATTTTTTTTTTACTGGTGAAAATACCGGACTATCCGGGTGAATACAGGACACCTGGCAACCCCCACTAGGGGGTTTCTTTATGGATAATGGTTTTATCCGGGTGAATACAGGACACCTGGCAACCCTAATGGTTAATCAACCACTAGAGGGTTTCTTTATGGATAATGGTTCCTACGTAAAGAGGATAAGGAATTTATAGGTATGCATTTTTCACATTAGAATACTCCTGTTTCAACAGGATTTCCTGATCAGATTAAAGAAATTCTTTCAGAGTGGCTCTTTATGAAATGAATTACCTCCACATTACTTGCAACAGTCACTTGAACAGCCCAAGACTCTTAACATAAAACTCAAAGGACAGAGGCTAAAACCACTGTCTAGAAGACGACAATATTGTGCCCTCAAAAAGCATTCCTCATGTAGTGCTGGCAGGAATGGACGACGCAAGTCAAAATTGTCCATGAAATATAAATAGTGTATCCAACAAAAGAGTCAAACAAAATCAAGTGCGGGTTGGCAGTGGCGAGTTTCCCCATTATTTTAATTTAAGGATCAAGATTTATGTTCAGGAGACTCTGATTAGATTTTATTGGAAAGAGATTAAAAGTGGAATACCAAGAGACATGCTGTGGAAGGACGGTAGACTCAAGCTCAGCATTTCGATTAAGAGATATCAGGAAATTCAGGATTGCTCGGCTTTCTTTAGGCACTGAAATATGATCTAATTTGTAAGTGAAGAACCAAGCAGCTGCACTGGCTACTTTCGGAGAGGCCTGATCTAGTCACCAGTGTTCATGCAAGGGATCCGTTTCCCAGGTGACAATGGCTGCGGTATTTTCATTATCTTAGGAACGTGATGTCTGTGGTTTGCATTTTATAAAGTGACAGGCAGCCAACAGAGAAAACACTGTGTTGCTATGACAGGCATATCTGGCAACGAAAACATTTCTGATCAGCCCAAATCATTTTGCCTCTTTCCAGCAACGACAAAAGTTAAGAAAGTTTATCCTGCATCTGTAGTCGTTAAACACAGGGAATGCAGCTCCTTGCACTGAAAACCACCGACTGATGCAGGTGAACCACAGAATTCAGTTGTTGACTTTTCTGTAGCTGTGAAGGTTAACTGATGAGCCCAGGCTTTTCGGTTAACCGTTTACATGTGTACGCTAACACATCCCACATCTGTCTATGCATGCTGGTGAGAGCAGAAGGCTGGTATCAGGGGAGTTGGGCATAAGACTTTAGATTCCCACAACTTCACTCCAGGCGCTGACCAGACACCCAGACAACCAAACAAGCTCATCTCCCTCTCGGGTGTTGCTAGCAGCCCCAGATACTGCAGGACACCACCACAGACCTACATTACAAAGGATTAGATTTGAAACCATGAGCCTAATGGTTCCTAAAAAAGGCCTTCACCCCAGAGAAGAGCAAGCAATACCAATTCAGTGGCTTTCCAGGGTCATCCTGAAATGCCCTTGCTCTCTACTATAAAGTGGATCCTAAGGGACACATCTGAATATCTTTGTGATGGGACCAGCTCTCAGTAGTTTAAATAGGCTTTTGCAGTTCTTTTCCTAGCAGAGTACGTGCTTATTACCACTTTGCCCCCACACTTCTCGCATGCTTTCCCACCCCTCCCATTTCTGTCTTTTGCTTTGTGAATTCTTCAGAAAAAGGATGGGGCCTTCCAATTTGTCCTCGCAGCAAATAGCATGGGCCAGACACTAGTATACTTGATCAATAATCAACCAACTAAAATTTATATTGAGTCAACTAATGGGAACAGGGAAAATATCTCTAGCTCAAATAAGCAAAACTTGATAGAAATGCTATTAGATTTGTAAATATATTTTCGTCAGCTACTATAGCAGTAATTTGAGGATCAAAAAGACATTTTACGTTGCTGTAGAGAGTTTGTGCTAAGAGTTTATTTAGGGTGAGGGGAGCTTAGTTACAAGAACAAGGCTGTTTTATAAAAAGGGGATAGAGAATAAGACAGAGAATATCTTCTTGCCTGTATATAAAACCATGGGTACGCCCACATACTCCATACAGATGTGGTCGCCTCATCTCAAAAGAGATATATTAGTACTGGAAAAGGTTCAGAAAAGGACAACAAAAATGATTAGGGGTTTGAAACAGGTCCCATATGAAGAAAGATTAAAAAGACTAGGACTTTTCACTGAGAAAAGAGGAGACTATGATAGAGGTCTATAAAATCATGACTGGTGTGGAGAAAGTGAATAAGGAAAAGTTATTTTCTTGTTCCCATAATATAAGAAGTAGGGGTCACCACATGAAAAATTAATAGGTGGCAGGTTTAAAACAAAAGGAAGTTTTTCTTCACGCACCACACAGTCAACCTGTGGGACTCCTTGCCAGTAGGGATGTTAAATATCAAGTAATTGACTAAATGAATAGTCGATGCAATTTGCATCGACTGTTCGATTAGTCGATAGGGTGCTTCCCCCTTTGAAGTGCAGCAAGATAGGGACAACAGTGTAGTAAGGAAACGCAAGATCGATCTACCAAAATGTTTTTAAACAGTCTTCACAAAGCTAAAGTCGTGCTCAATAAGTGCCCATTTCCCTGACAAAGTTTGGATACACGTGTGCATTGGAGATGCTCTCCAGCTCCTGTGCGCTCCACAACACAGACGAACTACTGTACCGTATGGCGGTGCTGCCACTAGGTAACAAATGAAGAGAAGTAGAACAAAACAGCACGGCAATCTGAATCAAGTGGAAACACGCATGACCCTGGCACCTGGCCAATTTCGGTGAAAGTTGTGACTGTGATTAAGCAATTTTAACACTCTCACTAAAATCTTGAACTTTAAAGGTTACTGTGAAATTCATGTCTGCTTAGTAAAGTGGGAACTCAACTACTTAAGATAGCTTTGAACAGGGTTCAGAAGAGAGCTACATACATTCATGGAGGATAGGTCCATCAATGGCTATTAGCCAGGATGGGCAGGGATTGTGTCCTTAGTCTGTTTGTTGGAAGCTGGGAATGAGCAACAAAGAATGGATCACTTGATTCCCTGTGCTGTTAATTCCCTTGAGGCACCTGGCATTGGCCCATGTCAGAAGACAAGATACTGGGCTGGACTGACCTTTGGTCTAACCCAGTGTGGCTGTTCTTATGGCCACTTTACTTAAATATGAATTTTTAAAGCCTGAATGAACTAATCAGTCCAACACAGTATTTTAAGTAATGGAATTCAATGTTCTAGGTGGACATGCGTGGCTTCCAGGCTATGTCTAGACTGCAAGCCTCTTTCGAAAGAGCGCGTCTAGACTACACGCGGAACTTTCGAAAAAGCGGTTTGCTTTTTCGAAAGAAAGCACCCAGCGAGTCTGGATGCTCTCTTTCGAGGAAGCCCTATTTACATTCAAGAACGCCTTCTTTCGAAAGAGGAACTTTCGAAAGAAGGCGTTCTTCCTCGTAGAATTAGGTTTACCGCCATCGAAAGAAAAGCCGCGTTCTTTCGATTTAATTTCGAAAGAACGCGGCTTGAGTCTGGACGCAGGTGAAGTTTTTTCGAAAAAAGGCTACTTTTTCCGAAAAAAACCCTGAGTCTGGACACAGCCCAAATGAAAAAGAGACAGAGTGGAAAGAACATGAATGTTTCTCCAAATCAATTTATATTTTGATAGGAAAAGCCTAACACTGATGCACAAAGAGTGGTCCTAGGATTTGCTGCACAATGTGTGATTCAGCTTCTCTGGGCCCAATGAGTGCACAGGAGCATGGCCAATTCTTCTTAAAGTGCAAACTTTATTTTCACTATGTTTAAAAGGGTTGAGAACCAGCTACATTTGCTTTGTAAGACAAGACTAGATTTTTGGGATAAACAAGTGAACTAAAGAAAGGCCCGCAAAACTGACTGCATGCCAGAATAAAGCCACACTCAGCGTTAGATAATATAGGCAGGCCCCAACTTATGAACGGGTTACGTTCCGAACACCTGGTCATAACTCGATTTGGTTGTAAGTCAGAAATACCCTGAAATGCGCTACCTACGCTGTTCAAAAAACTTGACGTACCTGGTTCTCAACTCGAAAATATTATAATGGGGTTAATGGAAGGTTGGTCGTAAGTATGGATGGTCGTAAGTCGGTGTGTTCGTAAGTCGGGGAGTGGCTGTACTAACATGGAGTCACTAGTTACTCAGTTAAAATCCAGTTTTGAATGAGTGTCAGAAAACATGAATTCAAAAGATTCACCACTTTTTTGGGGGGGGGGGGAGGGGGAAGGGGAGAGAAGAGAGAGAGAGAGAGGACAGAGCAGGATTTACTTGATTACTGAATCACTGGTGACCAGCTCTTACAGTTTAAGTTCAGAGAAATTATGGCTTTATTCCTTCCAGGCTGTCACAATCCCATTCCATCAGGACTAGGAGAGAACTGTAAATGGAGGTTTGCGTCAGCACCGTTTGCTATGAATGAGTCACATTTGTTATGAGCCTTTTGGCTGATGCTATGTTTTTTCCTTTTCTAGGAACTTGGTTTGCACCTCCCGCCCTTAAAGGAAAGAGCCTGTGCCAACCTCCTTGGAACATGAGAGTTCCCTTTCTGGGGACAAGGGGAGCGTACCTGGGTGTTCGGATACTTCAGCCTGGGCAGACCTGTTTTTATTTTCCAAACGCAATGACCAGATCCTGCCCTCTCAGGCATGCATACCATCCACACTAGAGTCAGTGGCGCTAGCTATGCATGCACATTAAGGGCACACAATGGCTCCAACACAGGAAATTCTGCTCTTTGACCAGAAGAGAAACTGAAAGCCTAATTGAAATAAGTTATCAGATGTAATTAACTTGCAGCTCATTTCCACAAAAAAACAAGGCTCCATTCTGCCTTTACACCCAGCCAATCCCACTGTCTTTAATGAGACACCTCAGGAGCAACTAAGGACAGAATCAAGACCCAAAGTTTAAGCCAGTTGTGAAAAAAGCAGCAGCAAAATAAGCCTGAAGTTGGAAAGGGCGTCAGCAAGACAAGAGAATGGAAGCAGATCTTGTTACACAGCACCAGCAGAGAAGCACCCATCCTGAAGGGAAAGATGAGAAAGAGCAAAGAGGTGCCTGGTGCCAAATACAACTTGGGGAGTGACAGGAGGGTCAGCTTAGCTGGTCAGAACTGGATGAACACAGATTTCCAAAGGACAACTGCCTAATACAGAGGGTGGTGTTGGTCAGAAGTGTGACCATGTCAACATGGGTCAATGTATAGCATGTCTTGCTCCTATGTGTCTTGGGATCTGACTTCACTATTGACCACGCTTTTACTCGCATTAGCTTTGCAGAACCAACAAGGGTTCTCTTCTGCCTTGTACACCCAAACTGTCAGATAAACTAAGTACAGAAGCTGTATTAACTAGTGATGAGGTAAGAGTCAATAAAGGTGGATTTTCATACGGAAGTAGAATTTTGTGCAGGTTACCAAAAAGCCATCTGATCTGTCAACTGAGTAAATGTTTGCCCTAAAAGTCGGACAATGAAAATCTGCAAAGTAAAAGTAAAGCTGACTGCACGTTTTACTGCTCTTTAAAGAGATCTTGCATTAATGTGACCTGAGGCAGGGGACTGGGGCTCAGGAAGGGGTGCAGGCATTTGGGTTGTGACATAGGGCAGGAGGTTACGACCTAGGGCAGGGGACTGGGGTGGCAGGGTCTGGGAGGCAGTATAAATTGGGGGGGGAGGTGCAGAGGGTTTGGGTTACGTGGGTTACTGGCCAATGGGATTGTGCTGGGGGCAGGGACAGTGTGCGAAGCCTCTCCCTAATCCCCCAAACTCACAGCTGTTCAAAGACAAACAGGGCCCTACAGTTGCTTTTCTGAGTGGCATGCGGGGGGTGGGACAGGCATGGAGCATGCCTGAGGGTCCCTGCTGCATGGGCCATATTTTGCCCAGCCCTGATTTAGTCTGACTGTCTTAACCTGGCCGCCTGTAATTCAAAGGTTTTACCCTGCCTTCTATAAAGCATTAAAATAACCCTTCATCGTTTGGCATTAAGGATGAGATTTTCCTTGACTTGCTCAGGAAGCCCCAGAATTAGTAGGACAGGAAGATTACCCATTTGAATTTAGCGGTCAGTTAAGCTTTGCTCAAATTGTGGCGCGTAGTAGGAATTAACATTCGGAGCTAAAAACTGATCTGCCATAATACCGCCATGTGTATTAATAGCCTCAAATGGTAACAGCTAAGAATGGAAACTTCAGGTTCAAATCCATCTAGAATTAGGGCATGAAATTCAATCTGGACTAACGTTTACAAAGTCAATTTTTGTTCCCCAGCCTCTCACAATCCATACTCCAAAGGCACCACCATCAAGATGTAATTGATGGACACAGGGGCCTGCCATGTAATAATGCGACCTGATCAGAGAGATTAAGTTGCTGTGGATTGGTTACTCTGCTGTCTGAACGCATGGCTCTAGGTTGACAGGGGGCTGTGGGAGAAGGAAGCAGGGAAACAACTAGCTACAAATAATCAACCTCCTAGTAAGGGTGAAGGGGCAGTTACAGGACAATGGGCCTAGGAGACACAGCTCTTTCTGTCAACGCTGGGAATCTAAGAGCCTTGGTGAGGTCAATGCCAAGTGCTGGTAGGAATAGAGACAGGTGCTGTGAGAGCATCAGTGCTCTTGAAGGGCCATTCCCAGCCTCCAGGGAAGGTGAAGCTCTGAGGCAGACAGGCAGGCATGCCTAGCAACTGTTTCCTGTTTTCAGAGGTTCTCTCCTACAGGCCTTTGTTCACTGGAAACACGGCTTTGCTTTAAGAAGGCTGTTGGACCTCTGCTCCCCGAGGGGGCAGACCTGCAGGCACTGGATCTGCTGAGGTGATCACAGGTGATCAGAGGACTGTGGTCCAAAGAGCTGGGTCGGAGTGAAAGAACATGGAGATTCCATGCAGAGAAGGAACAGCCCGAGACCCGAGAGGGGGTGCACTTGGAGTCCAGGAGAGGGCAAAACTGTGGTTTGCCTATCACAGTCACTGTCCAGGCTTGGACAGAACCTGGAGGCAAAGCAGCTTTGGCAGCAACTGCCACAAGCAAGATCTGGCCACAGGAGAAATGCTTCGTTCTTGCATGGAGACCTTCATCCACACATCTCAAAGCATATGACAAACATTAAATCTCAACACTGCCAATTGCCGTCATCCACACTATATAGGTGGGTAAACTGAGGCACCTCTCAGTCGCAGAGCTGAGACTTGCACCCAGTGCCTGGCCTCTAGATCACAGGGTAACAGCATGGGGTGGGCAGTGGAAGTACAGTGGGGGAAAGATTGGTTAGGCTTTGAACACTTTTGCAGGACTTCAAACAGAATTTTGGAAGTAGGGGCAGGGGACAAAAGAAAAGATTAAAACTGTTTTTTTCCTCTCCCCATCTCTGGAATAGCAGCTCTGTGTACATGGGTGTCGGGTGTAATAGGCCAGGGGAGACTCTGCCTCCCCAGGTGCTGCCACTGCCACCGAGCTGCAGGTTGCTCGGGTGAAGGCTTTGCTTTATTATGCTCCATGCCAGTTCCAAGGCAGCTAGAGGCACGTGCTATTCAGCTTCCTAGGTACCTCAGTAATCTCCCAGCCCCCCAGAGAGACTACTGAGGAAGCCAGGAAGCGGAGTAGCAGATACCACCTCTGCAGCTGTCCCGGAACCTGCACGGGGCATAGAAAAAGCTCTGGTCCTTCTCCAGGAGGAGATGCTGTCAGACTGCAGCTTTTCCCTGGTGGCTTGGGGTCAGGGGAGGGAAGGCTACAGCTCTTCTGGGGCTCCTCTGGTTCGGGGGGAGGGGAGGTAGGGAGGGACTCAGGGCTCCTCTGGGCAGCAGGGTTCATTGCTTCAGCTGCAGGGGAGAGGAGAGAGAAGCAAGGGGTCTTAGGGATCCAGCTGCATGGACTGTGGGCAGACGGGGCAGCTCTCTCCAACATGTATGGTGGGTATAGCCCCCCTTTTTGGTGTCAACTTAGAACTGCACAGCTAACCCATGAAGAAACAAACTCCTTAAGGAAGCACCACGAAACAGATGCAGAAAAGAGCCCTCAGAAAACTTACCTTTTGTTTAGCACCATGTTTCCTAACTTCAAGTCTCTGTGCACAATGTTTTTCTGTAAGACAGATTCCATGTTACATTCAGATATCACCACAAGCCTTCCTAGCTCAGTTCTGGCCCTAGCCCCCAGAACGCACAAAGCACTAATTCTATTTTTGAGATTTCCTCATCCTCATAGAGATAAATACCATGCTCCTTAGTCTGTCACCATGACATCCAATCCAAGGGCTATTCCTGCACACAGGCAGCACACGGAACGTGATGCCACCAACGCAGAGATATAGCTGGATCCGTCTACATTCAAAATGGCAGTGTAAGTGTCTGCAAACACTGCTGAAATCCGGTTTGATTCTTTCTAGTTGTTTCAGGGCCTAAAGCTGTGAAGAAGATTGTACAAAGCCTTATGTACAGAGCCATCCCATCCATAGGACCGATTTGGGACGGCTGTGTCACGCTTTAGGGGACTCCACGGTGACCGCCTCAACTGTCCTATGGAAACCCAGGGAATCATGGAGGCCTGGCACAGGGCAGCAGTTGAGGTTGGCTCCCCCCTCCCTGCACTCCGGGATCTGGAGCAGCAGGGCTCCAGATCTGCTCCGCCCTCTTGCAGACTGCTGGGCCCCTCTTCTCCAGGGTGGTGGGAAGCAGAGTGCCATGGCACTCTGCTTCCTGCTGTGGCAGTGAAGTGGAGCACAGCCGACTGGGAGAGGGCAGCGCGGCGGAGCAGAGGGTGTTGCGGTGAGCATGGAGGAAGGCAGGGCGGTGACCCTATGCCACCCTGTGCAATCCCCCAACTTGCGTTGCTTGAGGGAGGGGGTAAGGAGGCAGAGCATGGGTGCAGCAGAGGCAGGGCCAGGCCTGCAGCTTGGGGGTTGCCCTGCGCCCTTCTAGGTAGGGCCTTGGTTATCTGTCAGATGTCTAATGAGCTTGGTGACACACCCAATGAAATTCAAAGTGCTAGTGTGGCACTGAGGGCGAATCCCCCATCCTTGTACTACCCCATTTGTGCCATTCTTATTACCAGGCCTCAAAACTATAGTATCAGAATCCTGCTACTTTAGCTCTGCTGCATGGCACATCTGACTGCAGCTGCTGGGTCAGAGCCGCAGGCTGCCAGCCCTGACCATGCCCCTTTAGTCTGAGAAATGTGTGTGTTTATTAGCTCACTGGCAAGGCTCTGCTAAGGGAGGCCGGATGCTGCTTTTTATAGCATCACTAGTCACAAACCTCACTGGAATCTATTTTTAATAGCACAGCAATTTCCAGTTCATTGATCTCAAACTAGCAGCACCGGGTTTTTATATCTGAATCCATTTTTATCTTACTCATGATTGATATTTCTTCCACAGGAAATGCTTTGGAGCGGTTTCTGAATTTGATTAGCCTCAACCGAACACAGAGTTGTGTGTAGAGTAGGGTTGTGAATGGTTAACTGGTAAGCATTAGAGTTAACTGGTGGAGGGTGGAGCAGCTCTCCCACAGCCCCACGGGACCCAGGCAGGGGTGCTATGGTCTGGCTGGAACAGCCTCTGCCTGCAGCAGGGCCACTCCATCCCAGCTCCTGCCCACCCACGTTTAAACGGTTAACCGGTTCAATGTAATATTTAGCCCATTAACTAAACAGGATTTTACATCGCTAGTATAGAGCTTAATGTTTAAAAAAGATTGTATTATTGGAAGAGAGCAGAGATCCATCCTTTGCAATCCTGCTTGTAGGATGAAACATTACAAAGTCCAGGATGCTACCTTGGGACGAAACTCCCCCAAGACACATGCACAGGCTACATGGAGATGGTACCTTGTGTAATGCTTCCACCACTCGTACCACATCGTAGAATATAACTACAGTCTCCCGCTCACTGAGTCTCTTCTCTTTAATGACGTAATGCTGTAGGTTGATTAAATCCGCTGTCTTGTCACTGAAATCGTGAGCACAGAGACAGTCTAACACAAGGCAAATGCGCTTCCTCATCTTCTTGACCATTCTGTTGGTTTCCAGATCTTCCACGATTTCACAAGTTCGGTCCTGCAGTGGCAAGGAATGGAGTTTAAATAAATGATCTAGCTTCCACGTGCAGGGGGCATATGCATTAAACAATAAGATGCCTTTTAGATAGCTAGAATAAAATAAGCGAAGCACAGATAAGAGATTACATGAGACGTCCATTTGATTTAAGATTAGCAACTATAAGGCTTAGTCCACTTTTCTTAGCCTGAGTAGTGGAGAACTGAGACAGTGAGAATACACTCATCTAACAGAATGGGTACTCAACACAGCCAAAACCTAATCAAATACCAGCATGCTCAGAAACCAGACACAGGACTGTAACTAATGCAGCTGGACCCTCGGTTTTTGTTAACAGTCATAGACAAAGCTTCAGTGGAACAACAGGCTGTTGACATTTAGCCAGCAAGTGCATCACTGCTAAGATTATGTCTACACTGGAAAGGTTTGGCAATGAAAGTGCTGTCAATGTGCCAAAGTCACCAAAACAGAAAATTTGTCAAACCTGTTTTTTCTGCCACCCAGTGTCGACATTTCATGGCCACATTGCTAGCTCCCCTGTCAACTGAAAGGGGAAAGCAATATGGGTAAGCATCCCATTGTGCCTGACGTCAACTTCAGTTGCTAAGCGCTGTGGGAATGTGCAACGTATCACTTGGCATTTTGGGAACGGGAAAAACATCCCATCCGCCACCTCTTTGCTCTCATGCCACTTGAATGACAGTTTTCGCTGTAAAATCCAGCACCTGCTGTGAGAAGTTGAGGATCCCAGAATTCTCTCCCATGTTGTGTTCAATGTGCTTAGGACACTACACATTGCAGCAGAGCTACTTATGCAATAGCAGGGGACGAAGACTCGGGTGCAGGTGACAATGGGAATGACAGGGACCGCAGCGAATTGGCATCGCATTGGGCTGGCACAGAGCAGCTGTGCAGAGTCGAGTGTCACTTTTGGACTAGACAAACCAGCACCGATTGGTGGGATCGCTCTGTCATGCAGGTGAGGGATGAAGACCGGTGACTACAGAACTTGCAGATGCCTAAAGCAACTTTTCTGGAGCCGGGTGCTGAGCTGGCCCCCGAACTGTGACGCAAGGACCCCTGAAGGAGAGCTGCTCTCTTGGAAGAGAAGCGTGTGGCCACTGCTTTGTGGAAGCTGATGACTCCCAATCGCTGCAGTTCCGTTGCAAATCAGTTTGGAGTGGGAGAGAGGGCAGGGCAATAGGTCACGTTTTGCTGCATACGACTGCGACTCTGGGCAATGTGGGTGACATAGCGGCTGGCTTTGCTGACATGGGCTTTCCAAACTGGCAGGGCAATCGATGGCGCACACATTCCCAATACAGCACCACCCCACCTTGCCTCAAAGTACATCCATCAGCAGGGGGACTTCTCCAGGGTGCTTCAGGAACCTGTGGAAGTTTCACAGATAAAGGCGGGGTGGCCTGGATGATGCACGCATCTTTGGGAACAGCGGCCTGTTCAGAAAGCTGCAGCCTGGGACTTTCTTTCCAGACCAGAAAATTGCAGTGGGAGATGTGAAAATGCCCACAGTGATCTTAGAGCCTGACAGCCCTGGCTCATTGAAGCCTTAGACAGGTCACCTCAACAGCTGAAAGGAATAGTTCAACAAGAGGCTAAGTCAATACCACATGGTTATTGAATATGCCTCTGGCAGACTGAAACGGAGATGGAGGCATCTCTATGGCAGACTGGACTTTTTGGAAGACCATAGTCCCCAGGTGGTGGCCGCTTGTTGTTACTCTCACACAAATAACGTAAGCAAGGGTTTGCCCATGGGTGGAACAATGAGACAGTGCTGGGATGCACAGTTTGAACAGCCAGACACTCACGCTGTCAGAGAAGCCCATAGAGTAACCATCAATATAAGGCAGGCTCTGAGGAACCTCTCTGACAATGAGTGGCACAGACATTTCTGTGGGTTGGGGTTGCTTCCTTGCCTCATCCCACTGCTCATCCTGAGCAAGGCATTCCCATGCAACCCAAGGGTATTTCAGGTTACCAGGGGCCAGAGCCATTGGTCTGAGTCCTGTCACAAATTAAATTCATGGAAACCTGCATCATGTGTGTCTTTATTGTTGTCTTTCCATCAGGATAATCAAAAGTAAGGGATTGTAAGGGTTACTGGAAAACCTCACAATTGTGTTCATGTCCAGCTGTCAAAGTCATAGCTGCTTTCACAGGGAGTAGTGTGCGCTGTGACAATGAGTGTGTGGTTATAGAGGGAGGGTTGCTGGATAAAGAATTCTGCATGCAGTCAGGGTGGCTGAATGTATGGGCATGGAAGGATGGTTGCTGTGGAAAGAGTTCTGCATGTGTTGTCAGGGAGGCCTTTGATGCTGTTTGCTCTGCATCTTGACAAGACACTTCAGCATCTCATTGTGATCTTCCATGAGCCTTAGCATACGCTCAGCGGTTTGTTCTGACTTGCATCTTCATAGCTGCTATTTGCTCCCTTTTCTCTGTTTGAAATTTGAACGATGCTACATATCCTTGATCAGATCCTCGTCTTCTGAGGTTTTTCTCTTAGTTGACAGAGTTTGTCTGCTGGTGAGTGTACCCGTCTTCTCAAGGTCTGATCTGGAAAAAGGAACCGTTAACAATGGAGTGACTGTTTTTTATGATAAAGATTATAACATTTCACTAACATGCACATCTCTGAACAAAATTTGACACTTTTATTGTTACCTTAGAGCAGTGGTTCTCAAACTTTTTGGCCCATGGCCCGCCTGGCTCAATGCAAACCTTCCTGAGGGCCACCAGTTGCTAATGGAAACTCACCATTAATTACATAATTACACCTGAGCCATTTTGTTAGTGCTACAGCTAGGGAGAATGGTTTAATTTAAATTATTAAACAGATTAAGCATTTTACCTCTCTCGTTAGTTTATCAAACTTCATTTTAAATTAAGTAAAATATTAATTTATGTCCAACACAAAAGGTTTCAATATTTTCTTTATTTATGGCAGGGGTGGAAAACTCTTTTTGGGTCGGAGGCCACTGACCCATAGAAAACAATCAGTTGGGGACCACACAAGTAAGAAGCAAAAAACTCCTCCCAAACCCCCCAACCCTCAATGATGCGGCCCCCAACTGAGACACCTCACTTCTCTGGTGCTCCAGCTCCAAGGGACAGGGAGGACTGAGATTCAGGGCTTCCCATAGCCCAGATTCACTTTTCTGGAGTTAGTGGATTTTGTGGACCCCCCTTAGGCTCTGGGGTGGGGACAAAAATAAGGGGGTTCAGTTTGCGGAACACCCTCTTAGGCTCTGGGTGAGGACAAAAAGAGAGGTTCAGTGTGTGGGACAGGGCTGCCAGTGAGTGGGATAGTCATGGGGGGGATCTGAGAGGGAGGTGGGGTTCAGAAGGGAGAGGGGTTGTGAGGTCTGGGTGGGAGGTAGGGTGCAGAAGCAGACTGGGAGTAGGATGTCGGGCAGGGGGAGGGAGCAGGAGCAATGGTGGATGCAGGAGTAGGGTGGGGGATAGGATGTTTGGCCAGGAGGGAGGGTGCAGTGTGGACAAAAGGGAGAGTGTAGGAGCAAGATGGGGGTGCAGGGTCTTGGTGGGGGGAGGGTGAGTAGGAGTGGGGTGTGGGAGCGCTTACCCGGCTTCATGCCCCCGTTGCTCCCGGCCAATGGGAGCAGCAGGGAAACCCCCCGGTCAGTGAGTCACTGCGCTGTCCTTCTCCCAGCAGGGTGAGGAGTGGGGGAAACTCAGCTCCTTCTCCTCCCTCACACAGCATGGAGCCTGTGCTGCTGCTCCAGCCTTGACCTTGCCACACAGCCATGAGGCTGGCACACCAGCTCCAGCTTCCTGCTCAGAGGACAGGCGGGAAGGGGCAGGGAGGGTGAAAAAAGCCCCAACTTTCCCCAGCAGTCCTGGCTTGTAGAGAGGGGCTAAGCAAGCAGCTCCACATGCTGCTGTTCCCCCAGTGGGGCAAGGGGGGGGCACACACGGGGTGGCAGCACACAGAGCTGCTTGCTCTGCCTCTCTCTGCGGGCCA